ATGAGGACGCGGAGAGGGGGGGACAGCGGCCAGGCCACGCAGCTAGCGGACGGGACGCCAAGGGGCCCACCCTTCCCCGGTTCACGGATCAGGTGGCCACGGGTGGAAGAAAAAGCCGCTGCGTGCTCCTGTCACTGCGAAAGGGACACTCGGGAGACTGGAGGTTGCCCATCCAGCCTCCACTCTCTCCTTTCTCTTGGAAGCTGACTTCATACAGGGACCTGCATCCCCTCCAACCACACACAGCCACGCTTCTCAGGCAGGTGGGACTGGCCGGCTTCCCCGGCCAGGCACCAGTCCACCGACCGGCGTGTGCCCACTCCTGGCAAACGAGGCCTGAGGGGAGCGGGCTGTGGCCCTTGGCCGAGAAGTTTGGAGTCCCCCAAGGGAGCGGCAGAACCGTCTCGTATCTCCCCCCGGGACCCAGACGAGTCACGGTATGATGCTAGCAACTGCCGCGGCCCGTCTTCCAGCTTCCAGATGAAGCCAGTCACGGAGACAACGGACGGGAGAGACGGAGAGGGCTGGCGTCTCTGGACACGCTTAGTTGTCCAGTCAACGGAACCCGAAGCCTGCTAATGATGACGCGAATTCGGATGGCACATTAGTGTTGAGACATTTGGAGCCACCGCATTCTGTTCCTCGAAGCTCAAGGGATTCTGCTACAGGAGGTGACAGTTTTCTTCAAATAAATAAATAAATAACCCAGCCTATGTGCATAGGAAAAAGGTTAACATGGTGATTGCTCAACTGGGGGATGGATCTATGTCGGACCATTATCCTAGTCTCACTTTCTACTTAGGTTTGATATTTTGGTGTTGAAAAAGCAAGAAAACGAAACTTCCGATCCCAGAAGATGGAGCTGTCAGATGGCGTTCAAGAAAGTGACGCAGATACACAAAATGCTCTTTACCAGACTTCCCGTGAGCTGATTTTGCAGGACAGGCACTGTTGGGACATGCTTTAATTTCAGCGAGGGACATTCAGGCCTAGGGGAGGGACTGCATTTCTACATACCTTATCACTTTCTGATGGCCAAATCGTCATCGACAAGAACCGGATGGCAACGACGGGCAGCAAGCACACTGCCACGGTCAGAATGATGGTCAACCAGATGTACGGCTGTCGCAGAGCATTGGAGGCCGTGCCTGTGAAGGATACGGGAAATGAATCGTGGGCCTTTTATCCTAAGGGCACAGTTACTCTTCCATAACCCACAAATGGGTTATTTGTGGTAAAGGTTTACAACTGGATTGGCCTTCCCAGAACCTCCCACCACTGCTCAGGGAATGGACATTTTAAAGCCAGACTAAGCCAAGCAAAATTAGGAAGGCAAATTCTTTGATACAGTGCAAATGTATGTAAGTGAGCAAATGAATAAGACGGTATCTTTGTTGACATTTCATTGATTAAAAGCGCCAAATTAGGCAATTGAGAATTATGAAGTTGTTCAGGAATACTTTTCAAAAAAAGCACTTTCTGGTTTATGGTTTTGGTTGGAAACTCCAAAAATTAATAATAAAAACGAGCACTGGCAGTATCAGATGTTTTATACAGAACATGTCATTTAATCAGTTCTGAGAGAAGGGTATTATCCTCTGTGCCATGTAAGGAAACTGAGTTGTGAAGTCAAGACATCTTCCCAAGGTAACAAAACTAGCCATGGCAGCCTCTGCATTAAACCTACTTCTGCCTGACTAGTGCTATGATTTTACACTGCAATCTGGTGCCTGAGTTTTTACGTCAGAGGAAGTAACAGTTCAATTCTGTAATACAATCACATAATCATATACAATACCCAATTTTCAAACTTAACATCTCCTAGAGCTAAATTGATCACATTTTCTGTACTTACACTCTTAAGTTTGTAAAAATACTGCTCTTTATTTTAAAAGTATGGTTTTTTACACTGCTAGATGTGCAGGGGATTAAAAACATTCCCTACGAGAATATTCAAAGTAACTGGGTACTCATTTTTAAAACCCAGAGTCAGTAAAGAAAAATACAATGAGCTCAATCCCAACAAGAAAAGGGTTAGCACAGCAAATATATTTTACAACTCAACAACTGGTCAGAAAAAGTCTTATCTTATACAGAGAAACTCATTTATGGGGATTTTGTTTTTCATTGTAAATTCAAGCTCTCTGTTCAAAATAAGAATCTCAAAAATTCCTGTTCATATTTTTTTATTCATAACATTTTATATTGATATCAAATTCATTCTAACATTTGCCATATATTTTTATACAGATATAATCACTGGTCACAAAACTATTTTGAGTTTTATCAATTATTTCCCTACATACACATTTCCAATGATGTAGATCACTTTGAGTTCTCAAATGCCATCATATTGATATTTCACAGGTTGACTACCTAACTTAATATTCTAAGGTTTGGGGGTTATTTCCATTTTTTTCTCCTTTTTTACAATTAGAAATGTGGTGGTGGTATAGTCTTTGCACAAATGACCTTGCCAAAAATACCTTATATCTTAAGGTATTTTTCCAAGCAGAAATACCTGGCCAAAATCTACAAAAAGTTTTATAATCCATTATGCATTTTCATATAGGGTTTGGAGAGATTAAGCTACATGCACTGCTATCAGCAATACATATATACTCACTTTTCCAATAACCTACCAATATTAGGCTTTATGGGGGAAAAAGAAAAGGCTTTATCTAGCCCTCTAAGTCTTAACACATGCACAATTGTATTTAAAGTTGTTTTAACTTGTTTTTCTCCCATCATGTCACCACCCTTCCAACCCATATCACCATTTAACTTCTAGTGACGGTATTAATTTTCACTAGCAATACTTTACACTTTGCATATTTTTTTACTTACCCAGAATTTATATCAAAATCTAAACTAATGACATTGGTCTGTACATTTATATTTTTGGAATTTAGAAAATACCCACCTGTAAATTGAAATGCAGATGGAAAGAGAACATGTATTCCAGCACTATGAAAGTCAAACATGATGCCAAAATAAAGTGCAATGCTTCCAAAAATTGAAAAAGCATTCACAAAAGTCCAGTAAGAAGTATCCAAGCCAATCTGTTGGGAAACCAGAGAAAAACAGAGAACTCACTTTGGGGCGTTAACAAGAAATAACAGATCTAGGAATTCTGAAAGCAGAATGCTGCTGTTTAGGCATGATCTGGTTTGAATACTGGACAATCAGAAACCAAACCTTCCTTGACTCAGGCAAGAAGTAGGCCATGTGCCTAGAATAAGGGCTACCAACAGCATTCACATTTTGTAAGTGGCAGAGGTGAGCTGGGAGTCTGGTGGGCGTATCCTCCAGCCTATGTGCAGAAATACAGGCCAGTACCACAGACACCAATACAGTCGATGAAAGTCATGTACCTGGAAGTTGACCGTGATTACAAGAGCAGAGGCGATGGTGACGGCAAAAGACTGGTAGTCGGAAGGCGCCTCTCCGTCCTGCCCCACGGTTTGCAGGTAAGCTCCGAGAGGGATGAAGAAAAGGGTCATGGACGTGAGGACCCCGTGCAGCAAGCTCACGAAGAATCTCTTATAGTTGAATAGTAAGTCCTTTTGTCCCACCACATACAACCCAGGGAATCGGAGGCTGAGTTTGTCACTCACGTCCTTAAGAAGAAAAGAGCATTAGAGTGGTGTGTTGTCCGTCAGGTCAGAGATGCTGGAGATGTGCTGCAATTTACATCTCACTAAGAGTCGCGACTTGCTGTTTAGTTTTAGGAAGGCAGAAACTGAACAAGAAGATCAATGCTGCAGCGTTTCCAGTGCACAGAGATCAATCTCTTGCTCTAGGCTACCACTACTTAATATTTAATTCAGAGCGGGGCTAGGTAGGAGTTTATGGTTTTGCTACGTATGGAAAGAAAACAAATTAGTGCTATCAAAAAGTAGGCAGGAAGGCCATATTTACCTCCTGATAGAATATATTTCTATTGTTTCTAACCCTTTTGGGAACAATTTTACTCATACAAGGAGACATGTTCATTCTAAATTATTTTTTTTTATTCATTACAGAACTTTCTTTAAGAATTGCTCAGGGTATCAATAACCATTTAAAAGTAAAGACTCTTTGTCATGCAGAAAAAGAATTGCTCTTAGGCTGGGCACGGTGGCCCATGCTTGTAAAATCCCAGCACTCTGGGAGGCCAAGGCAGGAGAATCGCTTGAGACCAGGAGAGTTTGAGATCAGCCTGCAACATAGTGAGATCTCTTCTCTACAAAAAATAAGAAAATTAGCCAGATGTTGTAGCATGTGCCTGGAGTCCCAGCTACTCAGGAGGCTGAGGTGGGAAGATTGCCCGAGCCTTGGAAGTCAAGGCTGTGATGAGCTGGGATCGTGTCACTGCACTCCAGCCTGGGTGACAGACTGAGACACTGACTCAGACACAAAAAACCAAAAAACAAAGAATTTCTATTAGATAAAAATATAGACTAATAGGGGAATTAAACATGTAAGTTTTAAAAAGCATTGAAATTTACATTCAAAATGAATAAGTTATTATTGAGGATATTGGACCCTCAGGTGTCTAACAGGTTTTAGCTTTCAGAAGAACCACAACAAAAACTTTTGTCTTTGAAGACAACCCAGTCACAGAAATACCGAAATCTTTTTTTTTTTTTTTTTTTTTTAAGGTGGAGTCTCACTCTGTCACCCAGACTGGAGTGCAGTGGCCGCTCCCAGCCACTGCAGCCTCGACCTGCTGGGCTCCGGCGATCCTTCTGCCTCAGCCTTCCAAGTAGCTCAAACTACAGGCGTGTGCTACCATACCGGCTAATTTTTTGATTTATCGTAGAGATGAGGTCTTGCCAAGTTGCCCGGGCGGGTCTCGAACCCACGGGCTCAGGCCATCCACTCACCTCAGCCTCCCAAGGCGCGGGATTACAGGCTGAGCCACTGAGCCCGGCTTTTTTTTTTTTTCTTTTTAAGAGACAAGATCTCCTTTGTTGTCCAGGCTAGACTTGAACTCCTGGACTCAAGCAGTACTCCCACCTCAGCCTCTCTCAAGTAGCTGGGACTACAGGGAAATCCTATTTTTTATACTAAAACAAGAAGAACAGCACTTACCCTTGCTGCCTGACCACAGAACTATAATAGAATTTATTCAGAAAGAAGGAAAAACCAGAAGAATGCCCTGAAAGGTCTGCTTGTCACATCTTTGACAGGTGCTCATCTATCTGTCTGGAAGCTTCCCTCTCAACACGAGACGCCTACCTGGTCAAGCAGTCCCATGAGGAGCACAGGCAGGCTGGAGTACAGCACATTGTAGAGTGTGATGAACCAGTCCTCATATGCAGTCTGTGAAGGGATGACGGAGGGCTCCAAGTCACTGACAAAGACATATGCCAGCCTAGGTGGCACATTCACCTGCTTTCTTAAAGCAGGGATGTCCCCAGCCAAGAGGGGACTTCTCTTGCCTAGGTAAAACGCCTCTCTTCTGCCCTTCTGGAAAACCCGAGTTTGTTTCTATGGGATGAGCAGAATCACAGAGCTTTCCAGAGAAACAAATCCCTCCCCCTGCTCCCAGAACAAATGTGGGGGGATATACTTCAAAAAGTTTTTAGAAAAGCGTCTATCCTCGTTGAATAATGCTGGATAACAAGTCAGTGCACATCATTTTCTACCCCTTTATTAATGAATTAAAGCACATAAAGCAGAAAAATTGGTCCAAAAGCACATGAGGATCGTGCACAATTTTTATTTTACTTTTTTTCTGTGAGGACAGCATCTCCATGAAAACATTTTACGCAACGGAGTTGACTGACGATTTGAAAATATGTTTCTGAAATCGACAGATGAGACCGTGCTTGTGTCCTTCCTTAGGGTGGAATAGGGGAATGGGCTTATTCAGGACCATGAGTTACATACAGTCCTGCCCAGAAACAGGAAGAAGGCTGGTGACCTCGGTCAGAGTCTCTCCTGCCCTCATTTCTGAGGCTCCTCTGACACCATTCGTCTATGACACAGCATCAAAGAAGTCTTAACAACCACAGGCACTGACTTAGATCCATTTTTATCAATGTTACTTTTCTGCTGCATTACCATATTCAATACCCATTTCAGCAAAAGTTAAAAACGCAAAGAAAACCCAGCCACTGGAGACATGATAACAGAACTACGATATCTACAATGTATACAATCTCTTGAGCCGTGGTCACAAGATGTTATACTTTCATAGTTGAACAATTTTTTGTCATCATTCTTAGTGGCAGGGTAACAGGAAAAAAGTAACCTGAGATGAAGGAAAAAAGCTTATAAGCGAACCCCACCCTTCTAAGGCGAAAGAAAATATTTTAAAGGACCAGAACCTTTTAGAAAACTCAGTCCTGATTTTAATCATGCTCCAACTATAAGGAGATATGGCACCAAAACTCCAAAGAAAAAGCAAACTTTTCTCAGAACGATGGTTTTATTCATCTGAGAGAAGAGCTCTACTGGATGAAAACACGTAAATCATGGTATATTACCTGTGCAGAGTAGCCATTGAAGAAGGAGTACCAGAAATGAACCAAAGTGAAAGCGAAATTTTTGTAAAAGAAGTAACGCAGGAACTTGCACATCCGTATGTAAGACCACCGGCCATGCACCAGCAGCAGTCTCTGCAGATATCTGAACTGAGCAAAAGAGTAGTCGCTTGACATGACGGCTTGCATTCCTTCTTGTCCACTTATTCCGACACCAATGTGGGCAGCTGTGGGTCATAAGCCAATTTTAAGGCCAACGGTCAGATGAGAAAAACGTTTCCATAGCAAAACACAACACAGAGGCAGGTGTTCACGGAACAATAAATACAAAAGTCCTTGCTCACCATCCCTTGGCCTCAGCTCCTGAACTCAACTCGGAGTCAGGTATACAAGTTGCCAAACAGAGCACAGGGGGGCCTCCATGAGTATTTGTGGAAGGACTTCACATGGGTAGTGAATTCCATTTGGATTATCTGCTCAGCTTAGAGTCATCCCTTCCACCCACAGGGTCAGCCCCTTGTACCGTGTGTGTACACTCTGTGTCCCTGCCTCCTTGGCCACGGCTGAGGCAGCCATGGGCAGACACGTCATCTGTGGTAGTTGTTAAAAATGGGTTTCTCCAACCTTCATTCCACCCTTGTTCTCATGGGAGTTACGAAAGCAAATGAAAAACTCTGTGTTTCTCAGACTCCCTTGCAGCTAGGCTCTCTTTGTGAACTAGGTTCACGCTGCTTAGATCCACTTGGAAGCAGAAGAGAATCAGAGCCCGCCCCCCTTCCTTTTTTGTCATTCCTGCAGCAGACTCATATCTACTTTCCAGCTGCCTGGATACGGGCAGACAACTGCAAAGGTTTCTCAGCTGAAAAGTTCTTCAGAGGAACCACAAAGTTCAAGGCTCTTCTGGTAAGTGACCCAAGGATCAGAGACTCAGCCTACAGCCTGCTGCATTAGTCCACCCAGAAGTTTTGAAAGTGCCTGGTTTCATATTATTCAGTTTCTACTTGAAGTACCAGCAGGGGCCTGCTTCCTGTACTGAGCCCTAAACGACAGAAGACGCAAGGTGGGCAGGCTCTCCCTGGATATTCTCTAGAATGGAGATTCAGTTGTGTTTTGGTCTGGAGTTTTAGTGTACAAAGTCTTCAGGTGTAGAATGGATACATTTCTTTCTGAAGCGTTCTGAGGGGCACAGAAACCAAGTAATCGAGAGAAAGAGAGAGAGAGAGGAGAGCGAGAGCGAGGGACAGACAGACACTGGGTTCCTGGTACAATTCTAGGTCCTGGTCCCAGCATCCCGAGGCCTGTCATCTTCAGCAGCAGGAACATCTTTGTACCTTTTTAAATGAATTCATTTTTTTCCTTTAGTTAGCCTTGGTTATTCTGTCATACTTATAATCAAAAGAGTTTTAACTAAGATACTATTAAACTTTCAAAGACTTATTCATGGACTTACCCAGGACTCGAAGACATAATTTTTTGCAGGGGTGAAAAATTATGGTTTCCAGAATGGATCAAAATTAAAGTAACAATTGTATTCATCAGTTACGTAACTTTAAAAACTTTTTGACCGGGGGCATCACTTGTTGCCCAGGCTGGTGGAATGCAGCGGCATGATCACAGCTCACCGCAGTGATCTCTTGGGCTCAGGTGATCCTTCTGCCTCAGCTTCCCAAGTAGCTGGAACTACAGGCGTGAGCCGCCATGTCTGGCAATTTTTTATTTTTATTTTTTTGTGGAAATGAGGTCTTGCTATGTTGTCTAGGCTGGTCTCGAACTCCTGGACTCAAGCAATCCTCCCACCTCCGTCTCCCAAAGTGCTGGGATTACAGGTATGAGCCACTGTGACTGGCCAATAAATAACTTTTCCAATTAGAAAATCATGAATTTTATCTAGGTCTTAAAAGTCATGAAGACAGATAATGAGATCATTTAGGGAAAATGTGTTGGAGAACACAACCTGTTATTACTCAGACCCTGAGATGTGACCGCCAACTCAGCAGAATCTTCGAAAACCCGGCTCTAGTTCAAAGCGTAATGATAGTGACATGACCGAACAAGTTCAAACCTGCTTTCAATAACACTTTGCAGTTTAAAAAAAATAAAACAAATTGTATCTCATTTACTATTTATGATCCCTGAAAACACACAAATAATTCTTATGACCAGTTGTGGTTGCCAGATTGCTTTTTCCTCCTAAACCATGGCCTTCTTTTCTTTCCTGAACAAACCACTGAGGGATATGTTGACATTCTCTTGGCTGTTGGGGTTGAGGAAGAGGAAGCCCTGCCTCAGGCCTTGGTGTTCAGTCCTCAAAGTTTCGGGTTTGCAGACCAAGGGCAATATGAGAAATGAACTGTCATGGCTCCCAAGGAAATTGAAGGCAACTGAACAGATACACTGAAAGCCAGCACTGGGTTTTCCCCTAAAATTTAAGCATAGGCACCTCGATTTTCCTGAAATCCCAAATGGGGTATCAAGTGCCTCACAAGATGATTTCCTCGGTACAGCAATAATTCCTTTTGCCTCTGCCTCACCTCTCTCGTGTTTCATGTACATTCTTTTTTTTTTTTTGAGTTGGAGTCTCACTCTGTCGCCCAGACTGGAGTGCAGTGGCCGCTCCCGGCCACCACAACCTCGCCTGCTCAGCCTTCCAAGTAGCTGGAATTACAGGCATGCGCTACCATGCCCAGCTGATTTTTTGATTTATTGTAGAGATGAGGTCTCGCTGCCCAGGCGGGTCTCGAACCCGCGGGCTCAGGCAATCCACTCACCTCAGCCTCCCAAAGGCGCGGGATTACAGGCTGAGCCACCGAGCCCGGCTCATGTACATTCTTAAGGTCTAAGAACAAGAAGAGACAATGCCCACCCAGCTGGAATGGGACAGCTTCGGGCACGAGGGAGAAGAGGGCAGACCGAGATAGTCTTTGAATCCTTGCTAGGGGCAAAAATGGGATGGGTCTCAAATTTTCTCACTTCGACTCGTCTACACTGCTAAACATGGAGCATGTTAGCAAATGGCCAGATTGCTTTTGACACCTGAATTTCACTCTACCTTATGATTCGCAAACATAATTTATTTCTGTATATTGTTCTGAATGCAGTTGAAGGAAATGAGAGCTTTTACACAACACAAAAAGGCACTGATGCTATTTGGATCACTTCCAAGGTGACCCCACGGTCACCTCATCTTCATCCCAAATGGATGCTCCGTGAGGTATAGACAAAAGCACCTGGCATATAACAGAGCTTAATAAAAATTTTATTTTATTTTTTTTGAGTCGGAGTCTCACTTGGTCGCCCAGACTGGAGTGCAGTGGCCGCTCCCGGCCACCGCGGCCTTGGCGATCCTTCCGCCTCAGCCTTCCGAGTAGCCGGAACTACAGGCATGCACTACCACACCCGGCTGACTTTTTGATTTATTGTAGAGATGGGGTCTCACTGCCCAGGCGGGTGTCGAACCCGCGGGCTCAGGCCATCCACTCACCTCAGCCTCCCAAAGGCGCGGGATGACAGGCTGAGCCACCGAGCCCGGTAAAATTTTAAAACGACTTAAAACCTCTAAGGTTATCTATGACATCATACAATCCCTTGCTATCAATCGGTGACCACAGAGGACCAAAACATTTCACGTCTAAGTCGTGTAATCTGTTGGTAGATCTAAAAAGCAAACCACCCTCCCGGCCAGACATCTAGAAGGCTACTTTATGACTGAATGAAATTAATGTTTGAATTACTCGCCCTTCTGGCATAGCCAGCTTTATTAAAGGTGCACAATGGAAAACAACCTAGAGCTGGCTACAGAGGAAAGGGACCGATCTAATTCAGAGCAAGAAATGCCATTTGCATGATAGGACAAGGCACATGCGAAAGATGGCAGGGAAGGTTTATACCGGCAGTGGCGACAGACATATGCACTGATAAAAAAGCAAGGTGACATACGTCATACAGCGGACTCCTGCTGAGAAGATAAAGTTGGAATGTTCTTAGTATATATCAAGGAGGAAGAGGAGGAGACTCTAAGAAAAGAAAGAGACAGACTCATGAGTCACACAATAGGTTGGCTTGAAAGTCTAGTTACATATCATGCATTTAAGCTACCTAGCACTACAGGACATGCAATTATATACCTACATGTAATCATTTAATATTCCATTTTAACAATAATAGTATCGCAGATCTTGAGGTAACACTGGTCATAATTTCCTTGTTTTCAGAGGAGAATACTGAGACCTGAGCATATAAGCCCACAGTGACACAGGATGCTGGCAGGTTTCCCTAGTTTGGGTATTTTCTTTTTTTTTTTTTTTGAGTTGGAGTCTCATTCTGTCGCCCAGACTGGAGTGCAGTGGCACGCTCCCGGCCACCGCGGCCTCGACCTGCTGGGCTCCAGTGATCCTTCCACCTCAGCCTTCCAAGTAGCCGGAACTACAGGCACGCGCTACCACGTCCGGCTGGTTTTTGATTTATTGTAGAGACGAGGTCTCGCCAAGTTGCCCAGTGGGCTCTCGAACCCGCGGGCTCAGGCAATCCTCTCGCCTCGGCCTCCCAAAGTGCTGGGATTATAGGCTGAGCCACTGAGCCTAGCCAGGTATTTTCATGACAAGACATTCCCTTATACTGACAGAAGGAGAAAAAAGGATCAGGGCTGAGACACGGAGACGAGGGCCATATGCTTAGTTCTGCATGCTTTAATACTTGCACCACTGTATTGCTGCATGGTAGGGCCCAGTCCTTCGTTGTGGGGACCTAGGGTCCTGCCACCAGCAAAATCCCCTTGGCAGCCTTCTAGGGAGGGCAGGAAGATGGCGAGCCCACATGGAAGCTTTACTCCAACGCAAAACGTGTTACTCTAAACTCACACCAAGTGACCCAACAATGAAGTTCCCACAGATTTACCAAAGGTAAGAGGAAAGCTCCAGAAAGGGACACGTAGGTGAGAGAGAATTACATCCTTCTCGAAGCAAGTACCAGAGAGAGCTTAACAATCTTTGTTGAGCTCAGCAGAATGTTTTGCCAAACATACTTAATATCAGCGTTTTTAATAAGCCCTGAAGAAATAAGGAAGGAGAATCAGCAAGAGAGGAAAAAAAAGAACCCCACCAAATCTACATAAAAGGAGGAAACAAATAAGGTGAAATTCACCCACAGAGACCTCATCTTTTGCTCGGCATCCTAGGAGTACCCCGTCAGGCCTGTCCTTTCCTTCCAGTGGATGTGAGTTTCCCGGGGGTAGGCAACAGGCGTCATCGTGATGAAGTGCCTTTATTAACTGTCTGCTCTACGAAAATCTAGGCTATGAAATCTGGAGAAACCACTCCACAGGCATCCCTGCCATCTGTCTTCTGTAGCAAGTGGGGCCCCACGGGCCATCTGTGCACGACTCACTTTTGATCATGTTCACGTCATTGGCCCCATCTCCGATGGCCAGGGTGATGGCTTTCTTGTACCTCTTCACCAGGTCCACCACCATGGCCTTCTGCTTGGGGGTGACGCGGCAGCAGATGACGGCGCTGCACTCGCAGGCCAGGTCCACGAAGTTCTTCTGTCGCTGCTCTTTCTTGGCTTCCAGCCTTCTTTTACTTTGGGTCCGCATTCGTCTTTCTTCTTCCGTCCGGGGGAACTTGAGCTTCAGGATCTTACTTCTCTTGGTCTTTTTCTCTAGAAGAATTTCATTCTGCAAAACCAGAGCAGGGAAAGATTATGGTCCCTTTACACCAAGAGTATCGTTTTTACACCAAGAGTATCATTCCCAAGACTTAAATTATGAGAAAGATAATTTCGGGGTTATAGCTTTGTATAAACATATTCATGAAAAAATAAATTTGATTTTATAGTCAAAACATAGGTTCTAATCATAAAACATATTTACAACAAAAATTTAGAAAATTCAAAAATCTACATAAATGAAAGGAAAACTGCCCATTAAGTGATAAGCCAGGATAACCATTTTTACCAGTTTAGTATAATTGTTCCTTTTTTTTTTTCCAGGAGTTCCCCTAATAATTTCTTTACTTTAATTACATCACATACTTCTGAACCAATCCCCAGGTTATGCTGTTGTACTCTTCTCTGTTTTGTAGATGCGAGCAATCTCAGGCACTAAAGGATCTACTGGATTGGGTTCACACAACAGAGAACAGATGGACAGAGTATTTTTGAAATAGTGCTGGGGCAACTCCTTTGGGTCCCCTCCTGCTGTGGGAGTTTTTTTGTCCTCCAAGAAATCCTGCTTTTGAAAGAAGGAAGGAAGGAAGGAAGGAAGGAAGGAAGGAAGGAAGGAAGTGCTGGAGACCACAATGACTGTAGACTATCAATACAAATGCTGCCATTACTGTTAAAATTTGGGTGATACACTCTTGCTGTCAGTGCAACCTTAGGTGGTTTAAAGGGGTAATCTGTTAGGAAATTAATTGTCAAGAAAAATACTCCACCCTGATGGGGCCTGTCCTTTGGTCCCATTATTGTAGCTTGCCCATGGAACACCGCATCTCCAACAGGACCCACTGAACAGTGCTGGCAGGTCCCATGCCAGGTCACTCAATTCCTTGTGGATCCTCTTCAGAACCATGGTGGGAGGCAGGTAGCAGTGGCCCCCGGGGTGGGGAAGGGGCGATGGGGGAGCCTGAGGCCGCCCCAGCTGTCGATGTTGATGGGGGACATGGGGAGCTCGAGTCCAGAGCGACGGGGTGCACTGGGTGCCTGGCCTGACTCAGCGGTCACCGTACCACCTGGCTGCCACTTCTTCCTCCCAGGCTCAGTGGGAGCCCAAGGGCGCCTCTCGGTTGGCCGGTTCAAGGGACAGCCTGTTTTCCTGCCTCTGCAGGTACCGAGGGATCCATTGGAAGGTGGCACCACCAAGGTGGGGCTGCCGCTAATTCCTTTGATATATCCTATAATATTTTATTCATTTATTATTTATTTTTATTATAAAGATGTGGGGTACAATTCAGGGTTAAGTATATAAACATTGATCATGCAGGGACCCTTGTGGATGAGGTATGCCCCTCCCTCCCCTAGCAGTTCCCCTCAACTGCCAATCCCACCCCCCTCTCCTGACAGTTTTCCATTACTGCCAATTGCTTTCTTATAGCATTATAGTTATTCAAGGTCCACTTACGAGTGAGAACGTATACAACTCTGTTCTTTGTTTCTGTGATAAATCACTGAGTAGGATCGACTCCAAATCCATTATATATCCTACAATATTAAGTCTCAGACTTGGACAGACCACACTTTCATTCGCAGGCTAAGAATTCTTAGGTTGGCAGTTAATACGCGAGGCCGTCTGAAACTGGCCCCAAATGAACTTCTTTTGTTTGAGTCAAAGGCACAGACACAGCAGTCAATGAAACGTACCAACCAAGAGCCTGTGATGATCAGGGCACGGTTTCCGCCAGATGAAAAGAAAGGTTCTTGCACAGGGGGTGCAAACTTTGCATAGACGCCACCTCTGTTCCTCTGGTTTTCCATCCGTGTGTGAAGGAGAGAACTGGGGGGATGTAAATTTAAGTGTTTAAAGCACAAGGCCATGACTACGAGATAATTTAAACATAATTTTTAAAAATAATGGAAGGAAAAACAGACAACATAAAATTTACCAACTTAACCCTTTGCAAGCAATACAGTGTAGTTGCGTTAAGTATATTCCCATTGTTGGGCAACCAATCTCCAGAAGTTTTTCATCTCGTAAAACTGGAACTATTTTGCCCATTAAACACCACCATCCTGTCTCCCCCTCCCTCTGGTCCCTGGTAACCTCCATTCTACTTCCTGTTTCTATGGATTTGACCACTCTAGATACTTCATATACATGGAATCATACAGTATTTGCTTCCTTGTGACTGGCTGAGTTCACTTAGCATAATGTCCTTAAGGTTCATTGATTTTACAGCATATGTCTCAATGCCCTTCCTTTTTTTTTTTTTTTTTTGTGAGTTGGAGTCTAACTCTGTCACCCAGGCTGGAGTGCAGTGGCACTCTCATGGCTACCCCAGCATTGACCTGCTGGACTCCAGCGATTCTTCCACCTCAGCCTTCCAAGTAGCTGAAACTACAGGTGCGTGCTACCACACCCAGCTTATTTTTATTTTGTAGTTTATTGTAGAGACAAGGTCTCACCAAGGTGCCTGGGCTGATCTTGAACCTGCAGGCTCAGACAATCCACTTGCCTCGGCCTCCCAAAGTGCTGGGATTATAGGCTGAGCCACCAAGCCTGGTCATTACCCTTCCTTTTTAAGGTTGAATAATATTCTGTTGTATGAAGACACCACCTTTTCTTTATCCATTCATATGTTGAAGAACACTTGGGTTGTTTCAGCCTCTTGGCTATTGTGCACAGTGTGGCCCTCATTGAGAGTCTGTTTTTAGTTCTTTTGAGTATATAACCAGAAGTAGGATTGTTGGATCATGTAATCCTATTTTTAATTTTGTGGAGGACCTGCCATACTGTTTTCCATAGCAGTCACACAATTTTATATTTCCATCAACAGAACACAAGCATTCCAGTTTCTCTACGGCTTCATCAACACTTGTCATTTTCTGTTTTGATAGTAGGCATTCTAATGAGTGTGAGGTGATCTCTCACTGTGGTTTCAATTTCCATTTCCCTAATGATTTGTGATGCTGAACATCACTTCATATGCTGGTCAACCATTTTTATATCCTTTTTGGAGAAATGTCGATTCAAAGTGCTTTGGCATTATTTAAATCGGGTGACATATGATTTTACCCAGTCTCGATTCTCCCACCATAGGGCACCATGTTCTTGGTACTTCATTATTTTCCAAAGACAGCCGAGGGAAAGGACTGCTGAAAATGTGCACACAGCAACAAAATGAAGGGTGTCTTGATCTGAACTAAAATGCCCTACTTTCCTGGCTACCGTTTGGCAGAAAGAAGTTTAATTTTCACATAAACAAAAATTACAGCTCCTTTTGAGAAATTCTCAGTGCTTTATATTAACAAATTATTGAAGCGACCACCAGTAACACTTTCATGTGACAGAAAAATTAGTCATAAAATTTTGGAGTGGAAGGGACTCTACATACCTTGTCCAATTTCTTTATGTTACCAATAAGGAAATCAAGCCAGAAGGAGGTGATGTAATTTGCTTGCAGGTGGATGGGAAAACTGGAATGAGGACCCAGCTTTCCTAATGCTCAGCCCAGAACTCTTCCTACCACACACAGTTATTCTCCACTTGAAAAGCACGTCTCTACCTTGGCATTAGTGATGTTTTAGACCAGATAATTCTTTACTGTATGTGGCCATCATTGCACTGTGGATATGTAGCAGCATTCCAGGCTTCCACCCACTAGAAGGCAGTAGCACTCCACCTCCTCAGCTCTATCAACCAGATACTCTCCAGACATTGTCCCGTGTTCCCTCGAAGGCAAAGTCGCTCTCCACTAAGAACCACTGTACTAGAGGATTAAGTATCTAGTAGCCTTAATACTAGATAAGCATTTATCTAGTATTAATACTAATCAACCACTTTTATATCCTTTTTGGATATAAAGGATATATCCAAGTTATATTTCAAGTTAAACATGAATCATTAAAGAGATATCATTAAAAAGCTGAAAGATAGGCTTCCAAGTAGCTGGAACTACAGGCACAAGCCACCGAAACAAAAACAAAAACAAAAACAAAAAAAAAGATGACAGAATAAAAAATCTGAAGTCAAACCATTTTATAGAAATCATCATTTCAGGAACCATCTAGAAAGATGATTCATCTCGCTATAATGGTACACTTGACTAAAAGAATGATCATACAATTTGCTACTTGCATGAATTTTATCTCTTAATTTAGCTTAGGGCCCAATTTTTAACACTTTCATAAGAGAGGGTAGACATTTATTAAGGCCTCATCTATATAATATAAACAAAACCATATGGTAATTAACCAAATTACTTGAAGTCATAAGCTACTTAAGTAAATAGACTAAGCATTTATTTATTGTCTCTTGCTACTTTTTAAAAACCTAAAAGCACAGTGGGGCATGGTTTATGTGCCTCTGTTGAAATAGAACTGATTTAGATTACAAGGGTACCAATTCTGTTTGTCTAATTTAGCAAAATGCCTAATATACTGGAGCAACTCGCAAAAGTTGTATCATTATCATTAGAAAGATTAATAATGACCATCGGCTTCCTCAACATCTTAGCAGACCCTGTGTGTATGTCAACCGCTTAATTTGATCTTGTAACAGCCTGTGAGGTGATATAAGGAAAAAGCTTGAGGAACAAATGAACTGTCAAGCTATTAGTAAACACATCATGGAAACTGTGTGCCCCACATGTATAACTTCACAACAAGACAGAGCTTTTTCATTACACATTTCCAGGTCTGTTGCAACGCTCATGGAAAGCTAACAAGAGTTTCAGCATATGCTAACATTTGAAATATCAGGCCTGTCCCATCCACCCTAGACTACACGTGACCGACACGATGTGACCCACACAAGCATTTCCTTCCAGGTCAAGGTCGTTTTTGTTTTTTCCTTCTTCTATTTCCCCTTCCAAAGTTAAAATTCCTAGAAAATGTAAGACATGAATATAATTCACATGGATTGCTAGTGATATCACAGGCCCACTTCCGTTTTCCAGGTAAACACAGAGGATTTCCAGGGAGTGGAGAAAAATGACCCCTGAGATCCTCTGCTTTTCCCGAAAACTAAAATCTGCTCACAGTAAGGCCAAGTCATGATTACCTGGAAGTGCCTGTTCCTCTCCTGTTTTCGCTTAAACATGAGGAAACTGTCCCAAGTGACACATTTTAACTCCGATTTCTCCATATTTGCTGTCTTCTGTATCTAGTCTTGCCTTTGTAAAACACGAGCTATTCCATAATCTCACACTGTAGACCCTTCACTTACTTGATATCTTCCCCATAGCAAATAGTGGTGTCCTCAGTCAGAAGTTCACAAGCAAATCCTATATTTTCAGCAGTTTCTACAATAGAATAAAATTAAGTCAAATGTTCTTCCTACTGTTGAAATGGATAACTGACTTTATCTAGTGCTGATTTTTTTCAACGAATGAACATAATCGGAGTCAACCAAATATGCTATTTTTCTATAGCAATAAATAGAAATCACAAACAGGAAAAACAAATCTCTTTCTCTATAATAAAATAAGAGAAATCCAAAGTTAAGTTTGAGATGCTTTCAATTAAAAAAGTGCTATATTATCAAATATACAAATCAGTGTTCATTGCATTACTAAACACATTCAGTTCGTATGATTTAATCATTCTTTTATGAGGAGAGGAAGGGAAGGAGGGTACCCATTTCCATTAACCTGCATATGAAGATATTTTTTCCCTTTTTAAATGACCACCCCCTTGGTGTTTATTTAAGGTCTGGGCTGCGCTTCCCTTAACTCTGCAGAGTGTGTAACTCATTGACAGCTTTAGAGCAAAAGACATTATCTGATTTCTTGTGGAAGGCTTGCAGAGTTAAGTACCAATGCCAAACAATTACTTGTTAAGTTCTAAATGTAAAAATTAAAATCTTTCTTTCCTTGGGTATAAAAATGTTAACTTACAATTGTCAAGCAATAAAATGGGCAAGAAAACTAAAGTTATTGTTCAGCATTCTATAGTGTTCTATGCCCAAACATATGGCAAGTTGGGAAGACACAGGGACTAAGGGAATGGCCCTTTCAGGACAGGACCACATCTGGCTGGAGAGACCAAACTAATCCTAGTGAGTAAGACGTGGCCAGGAGCTAAATCATAAGGAGGAAATTCTACTCCTGAGACAGTTTATGGAAGGGTGCAGGGAGGATGCTTTGGAATAAGAGGAGGGTTTCCCAGAGAAAGCATCTTCCTTCCAGAGAAATAGTGTTTGTACAAGAGGGAAAGTTTGCAGAGGTCATCTTGTGCAAAGGAAATAGCAGCTGTAAATATTTGTGAATTAACAGATACACTTCTTTACACGGTGAATTACCCTTTTTGTCTCCAGTAAGCACCCAGATCTTAATGTCAGCTTTTGCAAGTTTTGAAATGGTTTCTGGTACTCCATCCTGCAGCTTGTCTTCAATAGCTGTAGCTCCCAATAGCTGGGCAGGACATTAAAAAAAAAAAAAAGAAATTAGCAAATAAACCAACAGTTTTTTGTAGTATAGTTTGCCAACCTGCAAAAAAGAAGGGCTAATAATACACAATGGTTGGCGCTCTCTTGGGGGTCAATGGCCAAGGGCAGGTTGTCATGTTTCACATTCACTGCAAATCAGCACAGCTAAAAACTTTTTTCTTTCTTTCTTTTTTTTTTTTTTTTTTTGAGTCAGAGTCTTACTCCATCACCCAGGCTGGAGTACAGTGGCATGCTCCCGGCCACCCCAGCATCGACCTGCTGAGCTCCGGCGATCCTTCTGTCTCAGCCTTCCAAATAGCTGGAACTATAGGTGCATGATACCACACAGTTAATTTTTGATTTATTGTAGAGACGAGGTCTCGCTAAGTTGTCCAGGCTGATCTCGCACCCATGGACTCAGGCAATACACTCGCCTTGGCTTCCCAAAGTGCTGGGATTACAGGCTGAACCACTGAGCCTAGCCAAAAAAGTTTTCTTAAAGGATTAATTATTGTATTTACCAAGACAAAAATGCAAGTATAAAATCAAAGATATTAAAAATATACTTTCCTTGTGTATTTGCTGTTTTCACAGATATAAGACAGTTGCATTTGTAATATAGCTATTTGTTGAACATTTCCCATTAATCTAAAGTCTACAAATGTAAAATTTAGGCATTAAATTTTGAAGACCTTAAAAAATTGTATATTTTTCTTATTTCAAGATTTTGCAAAATATAAATCGTTCCAGTAGCTCCCACAATGTAATAAATAGATGTAGGTTTGTTATTGTGCATACATCATAATGAGTTTTAATAAGTGATGTCAAAATGAGAAAATTAGATCAGAACCTCTCCTAATGTGTTTTTGTCTTTTGGCGTCTTTCTTTTTTGAGTCAGGGTTTTACTCTATCTTCCAGGCTGGAGTGCAGTGGCACAATCACAGCTAACTGCAGGCTTGAACTCCTGGGCTCGAGCAGTTCTCCCACTTTAGCCTCCTAAGTAGCTAGAACTACAGGCGCGGGCCACCACACTCAGCTAATTTTTTTATTTTTGTAAAGACAAGGTCTCATTATGTTGCCCAGGCTGGTCTTGAACTCTTGGACTCAAGCAATCCTCCCTCCTCGGCTTCCCAAAGTGCTGGGATTACAGGCATAAGCCACCACGCCTGGCCCCTTTGTTTTCCCAGAGGCAACTTCTGTTCTGCTTCTATTTCACTGAACAAAAGAAATTTAAATAACCCAGTTCCACTGTCCCCATGACAGTGTTTGTCCCCATGACAAACACTGAAGCTAGAATTATTTTTCAAGCATGAGATCAAAAATGTGATAAAACAATAAAAATTTCAGTTCTGTTGAGAACATCCAGGAAAAAGTTTTTAAGGCTGAAACTCACAATTAAGTCTTTTTCAATCTCCTCATACACCTTGTCCAGAGCTTCGTCTCGGTTACTTGAGGCCACACTGGCAGCCATAAACTTTTTATTCCATTCTGTGAATTCTTTCTCTTCAATTTCCTTGTAGCAAAGGCACAGGGTTCTAAGAGTTTCATTTGCAAAGATCTGTTTTAATTAAAAGACAATCCACCGATGCAAAGATGGTTAATTTTGTGTAATTCAAGATCAAGTTTGAAATCTTACTTTGAAGCAATATACTAAGAGGATTTGAAAAGGAACCATGAAAAATGATCAATTCTATGCAAATATAGACTACGGAGAGGGTTAAACTTCACTTTATAATAGACCTTTTTTTCTAAGTTTCTGTAAGGGTCTCAGGACTGTACTTTTTCTTTTCTTTTTTTCTTTTTTGAGTCTGAGTCTCACTCTGTCGCCCAGGCTGGAGTGCAGTGGCACATTCACGGCCACCACAGCCTCAACCTGCTGGGCTCTAGCGATCTTTCCACCTCAGCCTTCCAAGTAGCCGGAACCACAAGCATGCATCACCATACCAGGTTGATTTTTTAATTTATTGTAGAGCTACATTTATTGTAGAGATGAGGTCTCACCATGTTGCTCAGGCTGGTCTCAAACCCCTGAACTCAGGCAATCCGCTTGCCTTTGCCTCCCAAAGTGCTGGGATTTTAAGTGTGAGCCACCACACTTGGCATCTTTTTTTCTTTTGGAGTCGGAGTCTCACTCTGATGTCCAGGCTGGAGTGCAGTTGCATGATAACAGCTCACCATAGACTCCGTCTCCTGGGCTCAGGCGATCCTTCCACTTCAGCCTCCCGAGTAACTGGGACCACAGGCATGCACCACCATGCCCAACTGATTTTTAAAAACTTTTTTTGTAGGGATGAAATCTCACTATGTTGCTCAGGCTCAAACAATCCTCCCACCTGAGTCTCCCAAAATGCTGGGATTACAGGCATTAGCCACTGTGCCTGGCGCCCCAGGACTGTACTTCTAATTCCCAAATTAGTTAAAGGAAAAAGTCTACCCTTCTTCTAAATCAAGCCACTAGAGTGAAGAACCTTTCTCTCTCTCTTTTTTTTTTTTTTAGAGATGAGCTTTCACCAAGTTGCCCAGGCTGGTCTCAAACCCGTGGGCTCAGGCAATCCTCTCGGCTCGGCCTCCAAAAGTGCTGGGATTATAGGTGTGAGCCACCCCGTCCAGTCCCTTTTTCTCTTAATTTTTAAGAAAATCACAGACATAAGGAGCTGCCTTGTGGTGTAAAGATGTAAACCCAAGCCTGACAACTTTATAATGTGTTTCATCAAACTGTGATACAAGTCCAATCAACTAGGAACTCTCAACCAAGCATTATTCTCTCAAACTAGTTCTAAAATACATGAGATATTGTTAAAGCTAAGGCCAAGCATTTTAATGAAAGAGTATGTGGACATTTTCCAATGGTGAACAGATTTAAACCATTTCCAGTGGCTTCAGCATGAACCAGTAAAAATCTCATTACTTTATGGTCATCTCTTGCCTAGCCAAGGCAACAGGACTGGTTTAACGAACCGAGGGTTGGCTTTCAAAGATTCTTGAGGAGGTTCTGCATTCACTTGATTAGATTGTTATTGTTCACATTCCCACGAGAACTCCTCCATTTTAACTACGTCAGTGACTGTTTATAATCTTAAAGTGTGACCCCACTTGGTAAACAACAGATTCATCAGGCTTTTCTCTGAAGGACATTTGGCTGGCTCTGAAACTCAACTAATCCTTAAATTAAAGGGGAAAAAAACCCCACACTCTTTTTAAGGACCTACTAAGTGCTGGGCACTTTGGGAAATGCTTTCTCTTACAGTGACCCTCCACGGTAGAAATTATCCTTTTCCTCTTTCATATGTGGAATTAACCATTCATATGATAGAGCCACCATTTTTTCCCCCAAGGACACAAAACTAGTAAAGAGACAGAATTGGGACCCCAGGTCTGCTTAATCTCCTCCAAACCTTACTGCTATTGTTACACAGAACCAAAACAGTATGAGGGCCGATAGGTAATTCTAAAAGCGCAAGTTCTAGAAACGTTCTGAGTAGTGGCAATATCATCGGACTAAGTATACCGCTTCCTAAGATAAGGACTTTGAAGTAATTAAGACCTAACTGCTTTGCTAGGAGAGGTATCAGAACTCAATGACCCAGCGTATTGCTTTGCCATCCCTTGTCATATACGAATGTTTTCTTTTCTTCATGCGATACCTAGAAGTTAGTGGGGTTTTTGGGGACCACAGAGATATTGACTGCAGCTTGGCATAGTTATATAGCTTGCTCAGGGTCACTGGCAGAGAGACGAGCCATTCCCCTGTCTTAGTCCAGAAGACCCGGATGCTGGGAAAGGGCACACTGGCCATTTTCTAGAAAGTCAGCATCAGGGGCAGAACTGGAACCCAGCTGGCCACCTTCCCACTTTGGAGCTCTCTCCGCCCAACTGCGCCAAATCAAGGGGAGGGTCGGCAGTTAACACAGAGTTTTCATGCACGCTTAAGAGCTACTACCAGAAGTAAGATCAGAAACTCCAGCAGAAAGAGTGAGACTTACATCCAGGGCATCCTGTGTTTCCTGCTTTGTAGGATTCATTCGATGTAACCGTTCATAAATGACAGTGTCAGCACCTTTACAGTAGAGCCTGATATTACCTTCTGGGGTCCTTACTGGTAGCAGGGAAGGAAAAGTACACAACAAAGTTAAGTTTGACTTTTTAATAGAAAACTCCATGTATAATGTTATTTGAAGTATTTCTGGGCTCGTAACTCACTATTAGCTTAAAATCATCAATGAACCTAGAAGATTTCCCATGAAATCTAGAAAAGTGTTGCCTTCAACAAAGTAATTTGCAGAAAGGCACGGAAAGGCTTCTTCACAGTCAGCTCGGTTTTCCACATCCCGACATATTCTTCCAACAAATATTTACTACCTCCTGAATATGCTTTATGCCAATGTACCAGCTACTTTCTTCCACAGAATTTTCTTTATCCATGCCAACCCCCAGAAATCTTTCTTACTTATGAACACACAACACTTACTGCCTTAAATACTCAGACCATAACATCACTCACTCCTTGTGACCATTTTCTTTTATTTTTTGATCAGTGCGATAATTTACTCGCTGTACATGCCTCATGGTTAACTAGACTTTAAGTCAAGCTAGATGGCAGGCATGATAATCCGTCTGGATCTGTGTGAGGGACAGAAAGTATTCGGTAAAATGCGCCTAGTGAGAGTGCAGTAGACAATTAAACCTGTATCTTTTTATTGGTTAAAAAAACTCAGTATCATGGTGAAGAAGCCTTGTGGAGACCACCTGAACCAAGTGATCAAAGTTAACATCTCCAGTAATGAGACAAGCCAACATCATGTACCTTCTGATGGGATACTTGGAGAAGGGCACAGTATCAACATGAACTCTTCCTGCCAACAATATGTAACCTGGTTCTAACTAACAGGGAGCATCAGACGAACCCAAACTGAGGGACATTCTACAGTCACTTGCCTGTGCTTTTCAAAAAACATCAATATATTAAAGATAAAAGAAAAAAAAAAAAGAAAGAAATGACCCTGATTCAGAGTCATGGTAATCTAATGCAATCTGAGGTCAAGTATTGGATCCTGGACCAGAAAAATAGAAAGAAAGAAAGGAAAAAAGGAAAATTTTAAAAAGTCTATAGACTAGATCATAATATTACATCATGTTAAACATTCTAATTCTGATCATTATACTGTGTATACAAGTGAATGCACTTGTTCTTAGGAAATACCACAGCATTTATGGAAAAGCGGTATTAGATTGGCAATTAACTCTCAAAAGGTTCAGAAAACAATAACCTGTATACACACACACACACACACACACACACACACACACACACACACACACACACACGGAAATTGACAAAGAAGCTGTGTCAAATGTTAACAATGCTAGTAGATATGAAAGAGTATACAGGAGCTCTTTGAGCCATTCTTGCAACTTTTCAGTAAATTTGAGATGATTTCAAGTTGCGAACTTAAAACAGTTCAATGTCAGGAAGCGATATCATCCTTTCCACTTGGTAATCTGTTATGTGCCTCAAATGGAGGTTGGATTTTGATTCATCAGCTCAGTCTTGCTTTTCTCAGAACTCCTCTCTTGCTGAATCCTCCCTTCCCTGAGGTCAAGTGTAGAGGAGAAATGCTCAGAAGGGCTCAAAAAATCAGAGACCACGTGTCATGGCCAGCACCACAAGCGGCCACCTGCCACTGCAGACACGTTGCATCTGTCCCCCAGATGCAGCACATACGGATAAAGAAAGTCAATGGCATTTGCAAGATTCAGATGTACTGCGGCAGTCTCATTCTTTGGCAAAGAATGAAGAAGAAAAATACCCACTTTGATAAATCTGCAGAAATCTCCCAGGAGCCAAGTAGTTTATTCATTGCCTGCTTTATCCAGGCAACATTTAAACGAGTGATGCAGCGACATACTGAGGAAGACCTACCAATGATAGACATCCGCTTCCGGTCACTGTTGAAGTCCAAGATGGCAAGAACGTTGTAAGTTCTTTCCGTGCCCAACTCACTGACGGTGATGGTGTTCTGGGTCCTGGCGAGGAAGGCAAAGCCAAAGTTCCTGGCGGCATTGACCAGGGCGCCTTCGTCGGGAGAGGCCGCCTGGTAATTGAGCTGACCTGGCAAGAAAGCAGGCGAGAAATCCTAGGAAAGCTGTAAAACCAAATGCAGATGGAGCTCATCACCCGGTGCTTGGCTCGGGTTCCTGGGAGGGTCAGGACACACAGCAAAGCCTAGCACATCCCCAGGAAAACAAGCCATTGACTCTGAAGGATTATGCCCAAATTAAAATGCCTAAAGTTTTATTTTGAAGTATAAACAGCAATATAAACTAGCAGTAAAATGGTTGGCCAAGAACATGAAAAACATTCCCAGAATCCCACCATCTAGAGGAAAAACAACACTGTTGACATTTTATCATTCCTTCCAGTCCTTTTTAAAAGGCCCATTCTGAAACAGTTTCTATCATGCTGAATACACATTTACATCCTGATTTTTTTAATGTGTTTTGAGCATGTTGCCCTATCTTTAAAAATTCATTATATACATTATTTTAATGAACGTAAGCATGTTACCATTTTCCCATTATGGGCACTTAGTTTACTTCCAAAATATGTAGCTCACAAAAACATTATAATAACCTTTGTGTGTGTGTGTGTGTGTGTGTGTGTGTGTGTGTGTGGGGGGGTCGGGGAGGGCAGGAATTATAGGCATGAGTCACTGCACCCAGCCTCATGACAGTTTTAAAGCAAGGATATCTGTCATTTAATACATCCCTAAAGAACTGAGAGTTTTGGGAATTTAGCCAAATCAATCCAGTCTTTTTTCACATTAAGTGAAGAAAAATGGGTGCCCTTTGATAATT